ATTTGGATTACAAGCTTTCTAAGGTGATATATACAAAGCAGAGAGGTTTACTTACTGAGCATTTGTAGGTGATCAGAAATGTAATGTAATTTTTGATGATATCATGCATGATGTACTGAGAAATTTATTCATCTACAGTATGACAACCTTGAGAGTTCACTGAGGGACAGCGGTGTCTTGGCTCAGACTCAGAAGACAGAACAACTGGAGGTAAGGCAGAGAAAAGTATGGAAACCATTCTTGGTGTAAAGAAAACCTACTTGAATGCTCCTTAATGAATATGGCTCACAGTCTTCATGTCTGGTACACTGGTACGCTCCCACGAGCCTCATCTGTGTGAACAGAGACATATGTCCTATTGGTTGTTCAGTTGAACAAGCTTGTATTTTTTTATTTGCTTTCAAAGTCCCTACAAAGAGGTTTTTTTTTTTAACAGCCATATGTTCACACTTGTTGGAATCATTTTTGAGTGAGTGGTAATGTATAGTGAGGTTTAGCATATTACAAAAAGAATAATAATAAAATCATTATTATTATTATTGATGTACACAATGAAGTACAGCCACTGCCGTGTAATTTTTGACAGAACTAGTCAAAATGTAGAATATTTGCACTGCTTCACCTCAGATCTGTAATGACATTATTTGTCATGTCTTTACAACCTTTACTCACGTTACTGTGTCCCAGTTTTGCAGCTACTTGAAGTAGTTTTCTGATCTTGTTGTCTTAGGTCAAAGCCAGACAGTTGGAGCACTCCAAACAAGAGTTGGAGAGGGATCTGGAACAGCTAAAGGATCAACTGGACCAGCAAAGGGAGCACAGGATAGAACAAGAAAGGAGGGTAGGTGCACACACTAACAGAAGTACTGTGGAAGCCTAGTTGGCAATCCTGAGTGAGAAGCTGTAGAATTCATTACTGAATGAAAGTTGTTTTGGTTTCTCTATCCAGATAGCAGTCCTCGAGGACAGCATGAAATCCCTTGAAGATGAAACTAAAGACTTTCAGTCACAGGAAGAGCAGGTGCAGTATTCCAAACCTGTCACATTTGCACTTTTGCCTGTCTGTTCGCTTTCCTCTGTTGGTGCTTCTTTTCCACCTCTTCTCTGTTCCACTAGGTTTTATAATATTTCTGTCTGTCCTTCTCTAGGCGCAGACCACTTTGAAAGTGTACAGCATGAACAGTGACAGACTACAGAGGAACCTGGAAACAGCTGGAGAGGAGAATGTAGTGCTAAAGGAGAGCAATGCTCATGTACGATGGACACACACACAAAAAAAACTTTGTATGGCAGTAAACGAAATAGTTTTTCCAAAATGGGTGCACAAGATTGTTGGCTTACCTTTTTTTTTCCGCCCAACTCTTTTCTCCACAGTTGAGGCAGCAAGTGGAGGGATGGGCAGAGAGAGTGAGTGAATTGGAGGCAGAGATGAAAAGGTGTGAGGTTGCTTACAGCGGGATGATGCAGGATGTGGCCACCAAGGATGAACGTATAATGGTATGATTTATTCTAAGGTTAAGTTCTGTGAAGCAGCCCATAAAAATGATAAATTTTAAATTTGGCCAGTCTTCCTTTAAGGTCATCTTTTTGGAAATGCCTGAGTTGCTACCAGCTCAACTTTTATTTTTATATTGTTCAGTCCTTTTAGTCCTTTTCAGGTCTGCCTCTGTGTGAAAACAGACACCCTTTAACTCTGTTTATATTTCGGGGAGGTAGACAAAGTTGCAAGTAGGGTGCTGAGTTTAGATTTTGTTTGTGTGGCCAAAAAATAAAGAACACTGGCACAAATCACAGTTCACAAAATTTCCACCGAACGTTCTTAGGACAAAGGTAAATTGCCTCTATTGAGGTAATGGTGGATGATTAATCTGATTGTAATCTCAGTTTTAATTTAGGTTTCAGATTACTCCTTAGCATTTGTTTTTCTCTTTTTTTGTCTGGTGTTGTAAATCAAGACTGTTTCTTTCATTTACACTGTAGCACTTACAGACCTCCTTAAAAGTTCCACCTCACTTGCTGACTGTAAAAAGATTCTTCAGTTCATAAGATCTATGTAGAAGTATTATCAGTTATTACTTTTTTTTTCTCCCCAGATTGCTGTGGGTGTCCCACTGTTTGCTTTCAGTAGTCGTGACTGGTCACCGTCAGCTTTGTATCGTTATCTCTATGGCTGGTTAACTGTTTCCCTAGGTGCCAAAGCCCGGCTCTATCTTTGCCCCCGTTTTCTGGTCAATGCTTGACTCACTATCAGATAAATGTGTGATTTTGTGAAATGAATGAGTAACTGTGCCAGTTGTGTTCAAGGGTTTTAATTTTGTTTTTTTGGAGGGCAATAGTCAAGCAGCGTTGCAGTGAGCATGCTCCTGGTTGTACTTCTAATCGGTCTTCAGGCTTGGAAACTAGAGACTGTTTAACCAAAAAGTGCTGCGTTGTAATTGACGAGCCAACTCTCAGCACCAACAACAATTCTCTGCATAGAAGTTGGGTCAGTTTGAAACAGAAGCCGTTTGCTCTGCTCTTTTTCCCACGTCTTTCTTTCTGTTTGCTTTTCTTCACAAGAGAGCAAACAGAGGAAAGAAAAGAGGATCAGCGCACACAATGTTAGTGGCCATAATAGGACTTCCAGGGAGTGAACTGAAAACAGCAGCAATGCTAGAAGCTGCCTGGACTTCTATGAAAACACGATCTTAAGGGCAAAAACAGACATTTTTACATTTCTGATTTTATGTTTTGTTTTGTTTTTTGCTTTTAACTATATTAAATCAGGTCTCAACTACTGTCATGTTTCCAGAAAATGGCAGAATGACAGAAAATATATTAAAATGGTTCAGTGAGAATATAATGAACTGTCAGAAAAAAATCTGTTTGCTTCTAGTCCTTAACAGATCGGCTGCTGAGGTTGAAAGGCTGGGATTCAGAGCTGGAGGAAGAGGAAGGAGGAGAAAAGGAGACAGCCAATGGTACGCCAGAAAAAGGAGAGAAGAATGGAAGAGGGGACATAACGGACACCCAGGCCCATCTGCAGAAAGTCCAGAAACTTGTTTATGCTGCTAAGGTAGATGGAAACAACCAAGCACATAGTGTTTAGCATTCAAGTTGATGATGTGCTGGCGCGCAAGAATTATTATTTATTATTTATTTATTTTTTAAATGTAATCTCTGTAGAGTTTCCCCTCTAACATGTCTTTATTTTTGCATAGCTGAATGCAGACCTCAAATCCCTAGATGAGGATAAGGACAGAGTATTTGCCAAACTAAACGATGAAATCAAAGCAAAAGAAGACCTGCAATGTAAGTAAACTACAGAACATCTATTTCAATTTACTTATTAACCTTTTCCATATTAATCATATGTATGAACCATGCTAGAGTCTTGCCATATCCCTGGTAGCGTGCATGTCATGTCTTTTGTTTTTGTTCTTTTTTGCCCCCTCCCCCCTCCAGTGAGCATAGAAGATATGGAGAAAGAGAAACTAACTTTGCAGTCGGACGCCGAGAACTACTCGGATCAGGTAACTGACCTCACCTGTGCGTGACTGTATTTGTTCTATACATGGTCCATATCTGTTTTCCTTTGGATTAAACCTTTTACCTTGTGTTTAGGTCCAACGATTACAACAGAAACTCCAGATTATGACAGAAATGTACCAGGAGAATGAGCTCAAACTGCACAGGTATATGCATATGCAGTAAACGGTTTTATATGAACAAATCTATCTGTAACAATCACATGATGTTAAAACTGTGTCATTAAATATTTGTAGACTTCTGACGGTGGAGGAGAAAGAGCGTCTGCAGAAAGAGGAGAAGTTAAACAAAGCAGACAAAAATATTGCGCTGGCGATGGAGGAACTTAACAACTACAGGTAGCTGAAACACAGTCTGTAGCAGCTCGAAAGCATTTGTTAGTTTTTCGTCCTTACAAACTGTCTCATTTCTGCTTTGCTTCAGGCAACGAGCTGAAGAAATGGAGGAAGAGCTGGAGAAAACCAAACAGTCTTACCAGACTCAGATATCAGCACATGAAAAGAAAGCTCATAATAACTGGGTTAGTAAAACTCGACAAAGATTTGTCAAGTTTCTTTCTGAATTGTTACACTCTTATGTTATAAAGTGAAAAAAACTGTGGTTATACCACTAATTGCCCCTGAAATTCTTGTCTTGTTATGTTTTGGCATTTCCAGGTGGCAGCCCGAGCAGCAGAACGAGAACTGTCAGACTTTAGAAGAGACAACGCTCTCTTCAGACAGAAGTAAGCATGATGTCAGCATTTTGAGTGAAATACTGAGATGATTCCCTCATCTCCATGTTTCTGCAGAGATCTATATTCCAGTATAGTCCTTTTATTGGCTTTGTTTGTGCCTTTTTTAAAAAATAAAAAGTTGTGAACACACATTATAAATGAGCAGTTCTTAAGACTGAAATGTACTGCTACTTTTGTCATGGCAGCTTTTAAATACATTTTCTTTTTAAATATATTATAACAATTGTATTAACATCTCCAGGACCAAAAGTGCTTGCCATGTTTTAACTTTAGGTGTGATTGTTTGCAGACTGACGGATACACAGTTTAAACTGGACGCCCTCGACAAAGACCCGTTTGCCTTGAACAGTCTAGCAAGACCAATGCCTTTCCGAGGTACGTACACACACGCACATATAAATCATTAAAACATGACATGAATCATCAAACCTGAAAGGCCAGTCAGTGGGGAAAAAAAGCTTAGTTTTCAGTAGAATCCTGCAATGAATTTTCTTCTAATCTGGGGCTTAATCCACATCCGGGACAACTCACAAAAATTTCTCTGAGGACTTAAAGCTGCAAAGGGTATTTTCAAACTGTTTGGATGAAGAACCTTCTTGGAAGAGGAAGTGAATTGTCTTCAAAAACTTAAAGAAGTCTAGTAGCCACCTTTTAATGCTCTTAAGCCTCCCTGAGCCTGGTTCAGCTGGAGGTTTTCTTCTGTTAAAAAGGTGTTTTTCTTTCCCACTGTCACCAAGTGTTTGCTCATAAGGGGTCTTTGATTGTTGGGGTTTTCTCTGTAGTGTTGTCGGGTCCCTACCTTATAATATAAAGTGTATTCAGGCGACTGTTGTTGTGATTAGGCGCTACATAAATAAAATGGAATTTTATTTATTTATTTATAAATGAGACAGTTTTGGAATGTGAATCCTAAGAAGTGGCCACCCTGCAAAAATCTCTCTGAAAGTTCTATAATTAGAGTGACAGATTAAAATCTCTAGATGTAAATCACTGACTGAAGGTGGTTGGAAAGTTCTAAAAAAAGCTGCTTCTTGCCTAAATTGTGGTCGAAGGACTCTGCAGGGCTGCAGATTTCCTTCCATTTGCACTCACCAAACATTCCTTTATTTCCAGCTGAAAGGTCACCGTATGTTCCTTCTCCTCTGGGTCGACCTTCATCGGAAACCAGACCATTTCTCTCACCTCCCACGTTAATGGATGGACCACCTGCTCGACTGTCTCCTAGAGGTAAATGCATTTAAAGGTGCAGCTAGCTGCAGCAAACACATACACCAAGCATGGCCAGATCCTTAGAATGACACACAAACACTACAAATATAAATATACTTGTAATAATTTTATTCTTACATAATTGGGAGAGTACATTTTCTCATTCATACTCATAAATGGTGTAGAAATATGCAGCATGTTGGGGATGACCAGCTGACTATAGCATGACAAGCTGCTGAAGCATTTTGTAGCATGGTCTGTGCATGTTAACAGCAATCTTGAATGCACAAAAGACAACAGAATA